AGATCTAGGGCTCCATTGTCTGGTTTGAAGCATAAAAATGATAGCTTGGTGGTTGTGGTGACTTCTTGTATGAGCTTAAGTCCTTAAAACGATACTTAATGGATTAAATGAGGTATCGGGTTCTCTCATGTCATGCAAGGGCATAAAATTGCCCTGGCATCTTAGAAACGACCTAGATTTGGATTTAGAATGTGGAGTCTTCATGAATTAAGCACTTAATGGTCTTTGGGGATTACTTACTTGTACGTTGGGCGTACCGACCTGTACTGTGTGCGTATAGCCAAAGAACCCAATACGATAAGAATACTTCTGAGGTACGTTGGGCGTAAACTCTCCTGTAAGTGTTGGGATTTTGGTGGACTTTTGGGCCAATTGAACTCCACTTAGCCTTGGACCTGGACCGATTAGGGTAGATAGGCCTTGGAAATTATTTTTAGGCTATTGATGTCATGTTTGTGCCTTATTGGGTCAAATGGTCCATTATAGTTTCAGACCTTAATAATCCTAGGCCCATTAATGAATGATAGACTTTTGGGCCATAATGGAGGGACTTGGACTTGGGATTTGGGGCCTTTGACTAGGTTGCGTCATAATCCTAATTAAGGTTATTTGTATATGTATATAGTGTGAGGTTTTAGATTGGTAGTTGAGCAGTTATTGTTTCCAACAGATTGAGGTGAGTCTTCTCATTATACTAATGGGTTGAAGGCATCAATGCCGACCCATTACTTGATATGTGGACTTAATAGTTGATATGCAATGGTTTTGTTAGTTAACATGTAATGACTTGTGTGAAGACCATGACACCTGGTAAAGACCATGGGGGAGCCTATGGCCCTTGGATGTTGGACCATGGGGGTAGCCCATAGCATTCCAGGTAAAGACCATGGAAGGAGTCCATGGCAATTCTATATGTATATATGTTGCATAGTATTATGATATTGTATATTTTGTGTATTTTGGGAACTCACTAAGTGTTTGCTTAGAGTTTGTTGGGTGTTTCAAGTACTTCTGGTTCTAAGGGGAAGAGTCCGACTTGATGTCGCAACACTCACTCTACAGTATTTCCACATTTATTGTTTTGGATACTCTGATCTTTTGGATATGATTTGCTGTAATGGAATTTTGGAAGACAATACATGATTGTAATTTCTATACACTAAATGAAAATTTTTATCTGAATTTTCGGGCTGTTACGATTTTGAAACTAGTTGTAAGACCAATGTATTACATGTGTTAATTTAAAAAAAAATTAAATATAAAGGTGTAAATATTTGAAAACTTTGAATTTATTATAAAATAAGAAAAATAATGAATTGTTATAATGAACATGTTTTTTTTATCTTTTAAACTTAAATAAATAATTTAAATAAACAAACAAAAGAAATTAATGAGTTTTAATTTTGGAAATTTTCAGTTTAAAATGTTAGTTTGTTAATGAAATTGATATCTATTTATTACTACATTTATTTCAATTATTACATAAAATATAATGTCAAATTTAATAAAAAAAAACTTATAAAATGATATGTGGAAAAAAATTAATTCAAAATAACTACAAAATGACATTTGACAAATTGAATGAGAGTGTGACAAGTGGCAAAAAAAAAACTTTATTTATTAGAAAAGATCCGAAAAACATTTATGAAATGATATTTTTTTATTAATTGTTTTTTGTATGTCTCTGGTTATATTTAAGTTATATGAGTCATGTTTAAACTTGTAAATAGTTTAAAAATAATGAAAACATTGTCCGAAATGAAAATCTAAGTCCCAAATGAGTGCATGGCTGCCATTTTTGGTATTTTGTAGTTAGTTTCCACTTAGGATGCAACTTTTTTGTTAGGTATAATTTCATATAACTTTGAGTGATTTGCATGCATTAAAATCTGTTGATAGGATTTGAAATCTGAATCAAATGTGGTTTTAATAATTTTTAAAATTTTGTTGTTTATCTTTAATTTATTTTTTTTAATTCAGATTCTCCTTACTGTTTATTTTTTGTTGACCGTTTAGTCATTATCTTACTTAAAAAGACTATTATATTCTTATTAATTTATTTTTTTTAATTAATTTTCTTATTAATTTATTAATTTTTTATATATTTAAAAAATTAATAGATTTTATATATTTGTATCTCCTCATCTTTAATGCTTAATATCATTTGATTTGATAGTTGATACAGTCCCTTGTTGTTTGAAAAAACCCTCCACTTCAATTCGTATATTTTCACGAAAAACAGAAATGAGATAACAAATAGTGTTTCACTATCATTTCGAATAGTGGTCCCAATTCAAGCAGATAAAAGAGTTAGGGATCAAAAATATAAATTCTTCCAAACCATAGGGACCATTCGTGTAAATTACTCTTATTTTTCGTTTTTTGTTCTTGTTCTTGTTTTAGGTAACTATTTTTTTTATATATCTAGAGCTTGAAAGTATTCACATCTAGAATTGTAACCTAATATAGCCGATCTACCCTAATAAATAAAAATGATTTTGCCACATATTCTTCTCTCATTCAATTTGCCACATGTTATTTTGTCATAATTTAGAGATATATTTATTTTCCACTTCATTTATTTGATTTTCCATTTCTAATATATTATTAATTAGTTTCCATAAATTAAACCTATCATAATGATATTAATTTTAAATTTTAAATTTTAATTTCAATTTCAAATAAATTTACAGTTTAAACCTTTGTGTTTAGCATTTTGTTATAATTAACCTGTTTAGTATACGGATCTGATAACTAAACAATAATTTTAATTTATTTATTTTTGGCATGTTTTTTTTTTCTCATAATTTTTATTTATTTCAAATTTCGAATTCAAATAAACTTCTCATTTAATCGTTTCTATTTAACATTTTGTTTTAATCAACCCGTATAATATACGGGTTTCACAACTAGTTATAATGATTATATATAAATATTTCTAACAACTTTGTTTTATATATATATATATATATATATATATATATATATATATATATATATATATATATATATATATATATATATATATATATATATATATATAACATTTACCTAGATATGAACTTAGAACTTATGAAAAGTTCCAAATCATTTTCCAAAAAATTTACAAAATTCAAATGTGCTTTTAATAAATTTCAAACACGAATGTTCACAAAAGTGAAAACTGGTTACACCATCGTCTTACATTTATGATTCATTTTTTAAAGCTTTTATCATACACGCGACCTGCTTGTCTGTCTGACACGCTTGATCCTGTTTTCCTTCCACAGGCCTGACATGTCTAGATGAGTCAGCTCCACAAGTAAACAGCTGCATCAAAACCTGTGAAACTTTCATCCTACCACTCCCACCATGCCGATCCTCCGTCGTCTCTATCACCTTCTCCGATTGATCAACGTATCTCGATCCATTCACCGCCTCTGAAACCTCCGAGCTCGAATTCGAAGGCGGCGGTGACGGTATCTCGTCGGTACTTAGCTCTACAGCCACATGTTCCTGACGCCCCTGCTCCTCCGTCTGCGTCGCCGCATCAGGAGCGAACTTCGCCGCGAGCTCTCTATTCGATTCACATTTCACGACTAAACATTCCTGCGGATTGTCGAACGAGCTCCATGATTGATTCCTTCTGACGACCGCCGGTGCCGTCGTAGAGCCAAAATTGTCGCCGGAATGGTACGTCTCCGCCTGATTTTGACACGTCAGTGTTTGGAGAAGCTCTGAACCTTTGAGGACGTAATCATGGCCGTTGGTTGGTTGGATCAAATCGTTTTCGGACGCGTCGTGCCATACGTATCCGCTTTTGTAGCTCCTAATTTTTGATCCAGAAAATAAGAGAAATGAATCAACAGGAAAACAAACTGAACTTCATTATCGTCTTCTAATTTAGGCAAATGTGTTGTACCTTTTGAAAGACCATGAATAAATGTTCGCTATTCCTTTTCCTCTGTGACAATTCAAGGTGTTCATAACATCTGCAAAACAACAGTCGTAATCGTACTTGAACAGGACAAAAATAAATATACATAGAAGCTAATTACTAGGTTTTCATGAGTCCTGACTCCTGAGTAATTTATTGTATCAATAAATGGAAATTCCAACATATCCTGTTGAAATTAAACCACAGAAAACTCGATTACCTCTTAGATAGAGACCATGAGATGAAGAGAGAGGGACATCGATGAGATGAGGATGTTCAAGCTGACCATTCCGAGATAGGTAATACAGAACCGGAACTTTTCTGTCGGGCACCACCGGAGATGACGCCAATTTTTTAGAATTAGGTTCAATACAAACCGGACTTCTACCAGAAGCGCCATTGTTGAGGATCAGACCTTCGTTTCCAGGTTTTTGATTACGAGTCCAACTCTTCCTGGGGATTCGTAACTCCTCGCTCAGACTGGAACTTGCCGCCATTAAAAAAACAGAATGAAAGCTTACTTGAAAGCATGTGAGGTTGTTATATAGTAGCGTGGGAACTGGGGAGGCTATGAGAAGGAACAGTCCAACTGTGGGGAGGAGAGAACGTAGGGCGGTGGCATCATCAATTAATTATTTAAATTTTCATAAATGTTATCTTAGTGTTGCCAAACCTTTATTTATTTTTAGTTATTTAGGAAAATCGTATTGTTTTTAACCGAAAAATGACCATGTTATCCCTCGATAGAAAACTTTATATAATGTAAAAAAAATGGATTTTATTCTTGATAGAAAACTTTATATAGTGTCAAAAAAAGAAAAAAAAAAAAAAAAAAAGGATGTTATTCTTAATTCCGAAAAAGACAATAAACTTTGATCCAATTGACTGAATACTCCAAAACAATTTATAAGGAATGCAAGTAAAGAAAAGTAAATGACAATTAAAGAAGCATATACTTATAAAATTGATGATACTATACATACGGAGATAACATAATCAAAAAGCATGAATTCACCATTGAAGTAAGTTTTTATCGGAACAAACAAATGAATTAATTCAAGCAAAAGGAATATTGAAGCTAACATATAACAATAATTGAATTCAACTCTTCCTCCTTAAGTTTCATTGAAGCCTATGTAAAAAGATTAAAAAAAAGACTATGAAGATGAAATTCTTTCTTATATGTTGAAGTTTACTTTTACATGCTTCGGCACGTTTTCTTTGTGAAGAATCCAACATTATATATGCAAGTGAAGCTTTTCTTTCACAAGGTCTTCAAGATTCTTTTGAAACCATTTTATACAAACCTTGAGTTGTTTAATATACTCTCTCATCCACTCATGTTTTCCTTAAAATACAAAAAATGAATTGATGATATGCCATAAGTATAAAATACAGCTCAATGATCTCTACAATAGTTTCCTAAAAAATTCCTTATTTATCTAGGAAATTATATGTTTAGCAAAAATGACTTTACAAAAACCAATTTTCAAAATAGAAAGCCATTTTATGGTATTCACATATTTGATAAACCAAAGAATTGAACCCGGACCATTGGACCAACACAAACTTTGATGAAAATGATTAACACACGGAGAGAAAGAGATCACTAATCATATATTTCATATATGCCAAATTTTCTTTTAGACAGATTCATTCACTACACATTAAATCTTTCAAATATTACATATATAATACTCAATTACTCATAGTAGTCTAGTATACCAATATGTATTAGGATATTATTTTGTTTTTCACAACAACGTTACATTATAAGAAATATAAAGGTGCTGTTTGTTTTTCTGAAGCAAAAATCAATAAAGTTTACGGATCACCTCTGAAACCCTCTGCAGTAGAAGAGGTGGACCAAACGGCTGCAGACTGTAATAAGAAACGTGTTTGTTTTTTTAACATTTGCATGCTGCTGCAGATATTAAAAAATTAAAACAAACTGTTTTATAATCCGAAAATAGTTTTTTTAATACCGAAAATTTAATAATTTATGACATTTCGACAATAATTTGTGATATTTCATAAAAAATAATGATATTTTAACAAAAAAAAAAAAAAAAAGATATTTTAGCATAAAATAATGATATTTCATCAACAAATTATTATTATTCAATATAAAAAAAATTCAACAAGAATAAACAAAAAAAAAACGAAAAAAAAATGTGAAATAAGATTTCAGCAATATATAATCAATATTTTAGCAAGAAAAAAGAAGAAGGGGTTGGAAGAGATAGGAAGAGACAAAACAAGTGTTGCGCCAAGAAGCACACACGCAGAGGGTTTTTTAATCTGAACACTTCTAAAAAACAAACTTTTGCGAGATGAAAAGTGTTGCGTGTGTGCTGCACCGCACAACAATAAGAGGTCTGAAGATTTTTTTTTTGTTTTTTGCAAAAAACAAAAGCACCGAAGACATACAACACATGAACTTAAAGATAGATATTTAATCATTTATACTGATCATTGTTAGATCAATAAGCCTTAACAGTTACAAGGATCCCACTTGCACCCTTATGCACCTTCATTCACAAAGCTTCATCCACTTCCATCATCACACATTCACATGATTCAAAACCACAATCAGCTTAAACTAACACAATCTTATATATGTTGATATTAATTCTCATAACTAATTAAGAAAAAATTAAAGTTGGAGATCATGTGAGATGTGTTACTTACATCTACTTTGGTGTAACACCGTTGACGATGACGGGGGCAGTGGTGGAGCTCTCGATGATAGGATACATCCCACATCTGTAACAATACATGATCAATCGAGAGGAAGGGTAGTCGAAGGCTGCATGGTCAGAGGAAGCTGACAGAGGCTGTGAAGGAAGATGACGGAGGCTATATAATAGCTTTCTTATTCTAAACTGTGCTTATGTGGAGACGATTGTATGGGGCACAACGAGAATTGAATATTTTGGAGGTAATGTGTTTCGGTCGTTCACTCAAGCATAAGGGACCGAATCAACACGTTTGTTTGGATCAAGTCCAACCTTTTAGAGGATGTATCAAACATATAATTGAGTTTTGTTGGACCAAGTCCACCATCTGGACACAATTTGCAGACAAATCAAACGAACCCTTATTATAGTAATTATTTGTTTGTTTTGTTTATATTTAAGAACTTTTTTATTTTATTGACCAACGAATTATTAAAAGTGTTCATATATTAGATTATGATCTGCTATCTTAACTTGCAGCTTATATAGCATACGTGGAAAATTAAAACAAAAAATGACATAGAAGGTTAATTATTTATTTGTTTTATTCACATTTAGACAACTTTTTATTTTTGTTACGGCAAAATAATTATGATATTTGCTACGAAAATATAACTATGGAATTTCCGATGGAAAAATATGGTTGCAAAATTGCTATCAAAACATGACTACAAAATTTAGTATGGAATTATGACTATGTAATTTGCTAAGGAAACGTGGCTACATAATAAATTTTAAAAATATTTTAAAGATTAAAAATATTTTTAACTAAAAGTGAAATCAAACAAAATAAAACATTGTTTAAAAGTAATACATATGATATCACAATCATCGATACCATGACATTTATTCTTTCAATAAGTCTCTCAGTTATTTAAGGGTTAGATATCAAAAAGAAATATATAAAAGAGCATCAAAAAATATATTAAATATAACCCTTTTTCGTCATAAATCATCAATACAATAATAGAACAATATGAATGGATGTATATATATATATATATATATATATATATATATATATATATATATATATATATATATATATATATATATATATATATATATATATATGGATAAAAATAACACATATTATGTACAAGTATGAATGGATGTAATACGATCATGATTTATGCAACATTGTTATTATTAGATAATTCATGATCTATAATAATTGGTTTATTAAAATTAAAAAAAAAAAAATAACTATTATTCATTATAAATAACATGGAACACTTATAACAAGATCGATGGTCAATCATGTTCAAAAAATAAGAAGTTGCTTAAATGTGAACAAAACATACAGAAAACTACCCTCATATGTCATTTCATGTTTTAATTTGCCACGTAGATGCCATGTATATGTCATGTATACACCAAGTAAGCTATACCCTAAGATAGACGGTCATAATGGTAACATTTGAATACTTTTAACAAGTTCATTGATCAACCAAATATAAAAAGGAAATTGTCTAAATATGAACAAAACGCATAGTTAACTATCTTGATAAGTCATTTTCCCCACATTACTTTATATTAAAAGAACATATAACACAAAACTAAGTTACTAATTCCAAGAACGTTTCATTCCAAAATGATCATACTTAGTATGATGTTATGCCAATATACCATACAACCTACCAAGTACTAATTTTATTGAATTATGACATGAAAATTTTAAGCACTAGGATTGAACGCACTCTACTATTTATCGTGATCCATCAATTGAGCTTACGGAATAAGTCTAAGTACATGTAACGCCCGGTTCCCGATACATACTTTTAATATAAGGTTTTGCATTTTTACACTGGGACTCGACAAGTTGGAGACCCAACTCGTCGAGTAGATGTGAATTTTAGGACGTGGGTGGAAGAGTCTACTCACCAAGTCGGAAGCCCCGACTCGACGAGTAGCCCTGTCTGGATGAAACCTTAAATTTAAGGGTTTGCACCCTATTTAAACAACTTATCGGGTCTCCACTCCAGCCTTCATCGCCCTCAAACTCTCTTCACGAAACCCTAATTGATTATTGAGTATTCTTGAGCTTTTGTGCCATTTGTGTGTGTCTTTGAAGCTTGAGAAGAAAGAGGAGGCTTGGGAGATCAACAGAAAGCAAGTAGATCCAGAGGTTTTGGCACATTCATAGCTCAGTTGAGGTATAAAACTGATATCTTGACTATTCATTTCTTAGATCTCTATTTAGGGCTATTTTCTACCTTTTCAAAGTCATAGTGAAGCCATTTCCAGGATTGTGTGCATCTTTGGGGTTGTACATTCAGATCTTGAACCTTTAAGGGTTCCCATGGCATAAAGGTGCCAAATTTATGGCCACTGGAGTCCCATGCACCATGTAGACTTCATTTTAGGTCCTTATGAGCTAGTTAACCCATGCATGCACGTAAAGTTTGTAACTATACGTGCTATATCGGCCCTATGAGGTCAGATCTATGTTCTGGATGCATTAATCCCGACTGAAATTGACTGGATAGACATAGACTTTGGGGGAATCGACGATTCGTTCATGGGACTCGGCAAGTCGGGTTATGGTTCCCCAACCTTTTCTGTTTCTGATCCATCTGGTTGAGTCTAAAAGAGGACTCAACAAGATGGAAGTGAATATGGGCTTGAAGATCAAAGAACTCGAAGACTTCAAGGATGAACCCATATAGTTCAAGGCAATGTCCCAAATATATGAAGAAGAACTCGACAAGTCAAGGACTAAACACTTCAACTGGTATGAAACAGGACTTGACAAGTTCAAGGATAAGCTTGACGAGTCATGATCAAAAGGTCCCGATTCTATATGAGGGAGAACTCGACGAATTCTTGAAAGACTCGACGAGTAGGATCAAAGTTCAAGGGTTTTATGGGTTATGGAACTTGACGAGTTGGTGGACCAACTTGGCGAGTTGAGTCAACCATATGTTGACTTTGACCAGTGTGTTGACCTTGACTTTGACTTTGACCTGAGTTGACTTTTGAAAGGATTAATAGTATGAAATGGTAATTAAAGAAGGTTATTATACATAGGAGTTTGAGAGGAGTTAATCCCAGCATCGAGGACAGTTCAAACACTTCACGACATTAAGGTGAGTTACCTTCTAGTAGAAGTTGGTCGAAGGCACCAAGGCCGGCCCACTAGTAAGAGTTATAATAGAGATGATTGTCTTCGTGATATTTATCTGATATGTGCTATTTTTTTATTATGTACTAGCATGATATGATGTTAGGTAGTAGGGGGATTAGTCCCCGTGTTACGGCCGAAGGGTAGGTCGGACACCCCATATATGTCTGACAATATGTTTATGCAAGGTTATTATGTGGTAGTAATAGGGAGTGGAATAGTCCCTGTAGGTGGTTGAGATAAACCGGAGGGTAGGTCGACACCCCAAAAATCCCAAACAGGGTAGGTCGGCACCCCAGAATTGCCAGACAGGATAGGTCGGCACCCCAGAAATGCTAGACATGGTAGGTCAGCACCCCAGAATCACCAGAGAGGATAGGTCGGGCACCCCAGAATTGCTCGACAGTATGTTAGTTATGTGGTATGTGGTATGATGGGGGAAATCACTAAGCTTCGTGCTTATAATTTGCAGTTTTGTTTTCAAGTATCTCTTCATCGAAGGGGAAAGAGCTAGCACGATAACAGCACATCACACACACACAGGATTTCCGGATTATAAGATTCTTAGGATTGTACTCTGACATTATTACTATTTTCATGATATGGTTTTGAGACGTGATTGTGGTTTTATGAAATGATATGACTTGATGATATTTTCTTATAAATGTTTTTCTAAAACATTTATCAAAAATGAAATTTTTGGTCTGGAAAATTGGGATGTTACAGTACATTTTTAAATATTTAGTTCACTTAAACCAAAAATATGATACCAAATTGTAACACCCCTTGTTAACTTTTAGTTCAAAACAAGCTATAAAAACATTTATATTTTCCAAAATATTTTTTTACTAAAAAGTAATTATGGAAGATATAGTCCCAACATCCTCAATTCACTTTAATGAGTTTAACATAACAAGGTTGGTAACAATCAACATATCAAAACACGATTCAAGCTCACCATACAATATGTGGTCCTTAAATATCCTTGTTATCTCTATTTTATGGTCTTCAGCCTAAGTACACATCAAAATAATGTTAGGCATGTAATTGCCTGGTGAGTTCACTTGAGGTTGGCTCATTAGAGAAAGAGATGACAATCTAACTTACTCGAATCAAACCACCTTTGTAGTTTAAATAACTTAGATTTAAAATAGAAGGGTTCTACTTCTATATGACCCAAAGTCCAACACACATTCTGTAACATCCCATTTTTCATGTAGCTTCATATTTATCGCTCGGATTTGAATTATGCAAGTTTTGGCCTTTTAGGCTGGAAGGAAGTGGCAAGAAAGCACCAAGCATGAAAAGTTGGCAACTGGGTGAGTACGCCCAATGTAAGATGGGGTACGCCCAGCGTAGAAGTTTAAATGATCGAGGATGTAGGAGGAGTATGCCCAATGTACTCCCAGAGACCCTAAACCCTAATATGGGGGCTAACCACTATATAAAGAACATTATGGCTCAAATCCTAGCCTCTTTATCAGCCACCCCAACCCCAAAGAAACCCTAAAATGTGTCATCCTTTCATATTTGGGTGATCTTGACCTTGAGAGGCTTATTTTGGTAGTGTAAGCTTGGAAGAGGAAAAAAAGAAGTTGGCAAGGAAGAACTTAGGAAGTTAGAGCTCATAGATCTGGGATAGCATCATCATCTGGAACTCCTTGGAGGTATAAAGTTCATAAATTTACCTAAGAGTGCTTAGATCTAGTAAGGTTTAGTTTTGAAGTAATTTTGGTCTAAAGGTGGAAGCTTTATAGCACAAATCCGATTTCCAGGCCAAGGGTTCCTACCCTTGGTGCTAAATGAGTCCCTAAGGCATAAAGTTGTCACCTCAATGGTCTTAATGGTTTCATGCAAGAGGTAAGACCATCTTCATGGAAGTAATACATAATTTTTTGAGTTTGGGCTTGGTTGGAACAAGTAAAGTCACCAAGTCAGTAACTTTATGGATTAAGACGTTGGAAAGGACTTGGATCTGTGATT